TAGTATTTGACCACAGATGCCTTAGAAATATTGCTGGCGTCTGCTGGGATCACCGGGTAAGTAATAGTGAGGTTAGACGCAGGGTATTAGGGAATGATGGTAAATCAGTTGATGAGGTTATGAATCTTCATCGACTGAGATGGTTGGGCCACGTGTTACGTATGCCTGAACACCGATTACCACGACGTGCAATGCTAACCGGTGTAGGGGATGGTTGGAAGAAAGTTAGGGGCGGCCAAACCAAAACGTGGCATCAGTGCTTGAAGTCACTAACTTCTAGTCTGAGCCATGTTGGTAGATGCAGACTACTTGGTTGGGGTCCGCGTGACTATCGTAACCAATGGTTGGAGACTCTTGGTGACATGGCTCAGAATCGATCACAATGGCGTCGGTGTATACACTCTTTTTTTTCCTTAAACTAAGAGATTAAAATCACTTCATATCTTTCTACGAACTAATTCTTTCTTCCTATACTATATCCTTATTGCAATCTTTCTCCTATATATTACCACCTCTGAATTACCTACTTTTGTGAATCCGGTGTCCATCTTGTTGTGTTAATGAGGTATGGCAACTTGGACCGATGCATATATGTGCCTGGTCCTACGTTGTAGCTGACTGACCCCTAAATATGTTTCTTTCCCAGGTCCCTCAATAAGACATCGTTTTACAATGTGAGCAGCCAGGAAGTGACAGTTGCCTTCATACCTCTATCAGCACCCCCGATCATCTTACTGACGATCGAATTCTTTCCCTGCCTTTTAATAATTCTACCTTACCAGCTACTAACTATTCTAGTATATCTTTATCACAGCGTGCCACCAGTGCTAATGATTTGAGTTCACGAAATGCTATTCCTAGTCTCCTGAAACCAGGCTCGAAACTACATGTTGGAGCTGCTAATGTCCGAACAACATGCTTCTTTATCTTGGACTCTAGAATCTTACACCATCGTTGTATGCTGCGTCTCCGAAACGCGCATACAGGATCCAAGTGTGACCATTCCTTTGACTTCACTTTTTCAATATAGAGAACGGGCAATATTACCTTTTGAGTTTCTGGAGACCCTATTACTACTTCTTGTGGCCCTTCTAGTGTAGATATAGTATTAATTTCTAAAGCAGATCAAGCTCTCTTGAACTGGATTTCATTACACAGTCACTTGTGAGATGTGTGAATAAATGGGACAAAGAAAGCTCGAAAAGATAGGGACACATGCCGTTGACTTTTTGTTGTCTCTGTCTATGCTTTCACTGATTGCAGCCCGGACGAAGTTGAATTTTATGGGGAGCTATCCAACCTCCAAAGAGCTAAACGCTATGATGTAGTAATAATGGCAGGTAATTTTAATGACCAATTAGGTAAACTAGACGAAACCGAAAGGCACTCAGGAAGGTCTTACGGGGTTGCGGCTCAGCGAACAGATAACGGTGACCACTTGTTATTCAGATAACTTCCAAATGCGAGGTTGGGGAGAATCAGCTCTCTCTCTCTCTCGAAATGCTCTCACATGGCCACGTGCATACAACCACTGCCAGGGAAGTCCTAGTCACTGCCTTCTCGCATCACGAGTATTGTTTACGAAATTGAGAGGACAAAAAGCGAATCACTAGCGCTTTAACCGGGTTGGTGGACATGAAGAGTTGAACATGGGGACATGGACATGGGGAGTTGAAAAACCCTGATTCCAAACCAGTGGTACTCATGGGCTCCAGGATCCTGAAGGAACAAGTGACATATGAACCAATTGTTAGTCACCGGCTACCATGGGGTTGCATCTCCTGCCGTTGCTCCATTGCCTTGTGGATTAGACCTTTAGGTTGAAGACTTCGGGTGTGGCCCTCTAAGAGAACCACATGCCTCGGTCCGGGCACTTGAGGAGTATCACAGCCCACACAAATAAAATGAAATGACGATAATTACTGAAAATGCTATTCGCACCTCGACTGAAAGTCAGACAATTCGCGTTCATTCTTTTTTCAATTATTACGTCACTTGTTCGCTCTTCTATTCCCACTTTGTGTATCCTTATATTTCAACTTATACAGCAGCTCACCTATGGTGGGAGCTGTTCTGTCTGAACGATCTTGATGCTTCCACCAAGTACGAATACCGAAACAGTCCTTCTGAAACCACGTATATTATTCAAACTGACTTTTTTCAACGTTCGCACACTAACGCATATCGGACAACAGAGAGAGTTGGCTATACCTTTAGGGTATTTGGGGCTGAGGATGCTAGACGACTCTGTTTGATCATCGTTATCTCCGAAGTATTGCCAGCATCCAGTGGCAACACCATGTTAGTAATGCAGAGGTTCAGAATTGTGTGTTCGGGCACAGCGACGATAATTCAGTTGAAGTCACTATCTTGAAACATTGACTTCGGTGGGTTGTACGTGTTCTACGAGTGTCATCCCAGAGAATTCCACGTCGTGCATTATTTGCCGACTCTGGGACTGGTTGGAAAAAAATGGAGAGGTGGTCTGAATGAAAACTCTACTGCACTGGCTTCTTTCGGTCCTTCACGACTCCTGGTTGGGGTCCTAGAGATGTTATCAGATATAGCTCAGAATATAAGCCAATGGCGATCCTGCTGTAATTTTATTTTACTTTCTTCGTTTAATTAAGGACGTATCTTCCTTAAATGGAAAAATTCTCTCATCGGAATCGGTTACTTCAAGCGATGTTTGTCAGGGTTATCCGCTTTCCCCATTTTTATTTAACTGTGTCATAGACATGCTTTTAGGGATAGCACTCATCGCCTGACTTTTCAGGGATTAATCTTCTACCAGGAAATTCACTTGTTGACCTAGGATACACAGATGATATAGTTCTGTTCGGTGAAGTTTGTAAAAGTGCAGTCTTTTGAACATCTTAGGCAATAAATCATGTAGGTTTAGAATGCGATTCACCCCCTCCAAAGGTAAAATATTCAGAATCGGCTTGCGTCATTACCTGAATTATTAATAGGGAGTGAAGTAGGTGAACATATCAATCACCTAATTTATCTCAGGAGTCTCATCAGTACTGATGGTCTGGTGTCATTGAGACTACAATTTATGGATGAACCAATCAGATATGAGATAACAGCCATTTGATTTCGGCGCGAAATCCATCCATTTGGCTAAATTGCGTTTTGGCATTTTGGCTGATTTTGATGGAGTTTTGTTCTCTGAGCTAGATGGTTTGGTCGTGGAGCTTTCATCGTTCTTCTGAACGACATCATCAGCACAAACTTCTTCTCCACCATTTTGGCTGATGTCCGTCGGTGATGAAAACCCTAAATCCTTATCCTAACCATCAACTGTAAATCGCAATTCTAATCTCTCACACTGTTTTATAACCCTCATTCAGTAGGTGAACACTCTCAAGGTCACGTTATCGTCTCTCGAAGGTCGTCCATAAATTATAGTCCCACCCTGGTGTCTGACGAAGTCTCAGCACGGATTCAGAAGGCTTAATCGGCTTTTGCCAACCTGCGTCACTTGTGGGTTAGACGAGATATCTATCTTCAAACTAGAGCCAGTTTACTGCGCAGCTGTTCACTCCGTTCTACTTTATAAATGTGAAACATGACCATTAAGAGTAGAGGATATTTGTAGGTTAATTGTATTCGATCATAGGTCTCTACAAAACATTGCTCGTGTATGCTGGGAGCAAGGAGTAGGCAATGCCTGCGTTGGGAATAGAGTACTAGGTAAAGATGTGAAATCGATTAATGAGGTAGTAAATCTTCATCGACTGAGGTGGTTGGTATAGGTGTTGCGTATGCCCACCTACCTCAACGGACAGTTTTTTTACACAAGAGCAGGCTGATAAAAGGCTAGGGTCGGCCAAACCAAAACTAGACATCAATCCGTGAAGTTACTGACAATCAGACTTATCCATGTTAATAGGTACAGACTACCTGGTTGGGGTCTGCGTGATTATCGTAATCAATGGTTAGAGACATTGAATGACGGCTCAAAGTCCTTTGCACTGACGTAGGTGCATTCATTCCCTGTCTCTCCCCAAATCCTAAGATTCTAATTTCCTCATAACTTTTTCTGATTTTATTTCGCTAATTTGTGTTTTCTTTTCGAGTCGTATCTTCGATGCCTAATATTTCGTATTATCACTAATACTGCTACTGTAGTGAACAAGAACATCAGTGGGAACAATATAATGTATTTGACACAAAATTACAGGACTTATTAATAAAATCTAAAAATCGTATAGTAAATGCTTAACTTGCAAAATGTCTATCAATTGTCTCAAATGACTCCGACTTCATTGTTCTTGCATTTCATACAAATTGCATTCTGTTTCCATTCTTCACTGTTCGATCCTCTTGTCTCTTTGGTGTCAGACATTCACGACTAACGTCATACACCACTTGTGTCAATATAAGTAGCACACACCACACTACTACCTCAACTATTCAGGGATTTTGCCCGACAATTTCATCTCTGTACTAATGGGGTATGGTAACTTAAACCTATGTACATAAGTACAAGTTCTACGCTGTCTGAGTGTAACTTCTATGTACCTACTTCAAAATCCTTCTTGGTTGTGTCTCGCCTCCAACCTACTTATCACTTCAGTATTATGTACTGCTAAAACCTATTCTGGCAGTACATTTTTGATAGCGGATTCCGCTAACTCCAACTCGTGTGCATGTCTTTTAGCAGGGCCATTTTCTTTTGACTCTTTCAGATTCCAAATGAACTTAACTTCTTTGAAAGTCGATTGGTTTTTCGCTTAATGCACTGCATGTTTTAGTATGGCGGTTGTGTTCTGTAAGATACTCGTAATTTCCTAAGTAGGCTAATTTTACAAGGCAGTGGAGAAATTATTAGTATCGAGGTATTATATAATGAGAAGTATTAGTCTCAATGTATATTTCCATTGGATTTTACCTCTCAGATTCTTATCTAATATTTCTTCGTATTCTAATCTTTTACATATCAATAATCTAAAAATGTACGATTTTAACTGTTATTTTTATCCTTCTTTGAGGTCGAAGATGAAATTCAAACACTGCGACAAGTCTTATTATCTAAATTTCGTCGGCAGCAGTTTTTAAAGCGCCAGCTTGGTATAACACCAATTGAGGAACTAAAAAGTGAGGTTAAACAAGGTCTAGATACTTTGCGAACCAGTGATGCGTAAGTCTATTAGTTATTTGCTAGATTTCTCTTAATGTTGTTGCATAGGCTTACCCATGTTCACGTCAAAGTAATATGAGTGTCCTGAAAAAATATAACGCTGTTGATATGATGTGATTATGGTTTACAGAATAGCAAACTAAATAGTTAGAAATATGATATTAATGACTTAAACTATATTTTGAATTCAACACTAGCCTTTAATTTCGTTCTTAACATTGAATCACGTTAAAAGACCTGTGGTCAGGGGTCTCTTTACAACAGTTCAGATATATATATTTGAAAAAAAGTGTTGATGATTCTACCTCATTATATGATAGTTGTTATGACAAGAGCAAGACTTGTGAAGTGAATATTGTTGTGATTTGTGGTCGGCTAATATCATGTGATCAGGTAGCCAATCAGAATACGACTCATACAATCTTAGCACTGTGGCACAACAATGACTTATTGACCGATATGAACAGCCTAGTGTCCTTATTAGTCCTTTTTCTGCCTAGCTCTGTCTGTTGAGACCAGAACGCCAACATCAGCCTCCACTGCACGAAGTTCATGAAAAGAGGTCATATTGAATAATTTAATCATAAGTTGTATTTAAGGATTACATATCCTTAACAATTTCACTTATCACTCTAATGATAAATGATTTTAGAAAGAAATAACATTCATTTATTATATGAAATTGTTCTTGTCCTCTGATAACCTTCTAGATATCTTAAAACATCAGCTGTTGTAAAAACTGCTAAGGATAAGACATCAGCTGCATTATTTGAGAAATGGAATTTATTACGGTATGTTTATCAACAGATTTATTTATTGATGTTTATTTCATTTAATATGTATATCAAAATTTTATGTAGACATTCTCATCAGGTGGAAAGAAAATTTTATTATTTATTTTATTTGAATACATAAATATTAGTATAAAGGGGCATTGAATACATTTGCGCCACGTAAGTCACTTGTGTGTGGGCTGTGGTACTGCCCGGGTGCCCGAACGGAAGCAGGTGCTTTTTTAGAGGGCCACACCCGGAGCCTTCAACCTAAAGGTCTGATCCGCAAGGCAGTGGAGCAACGTCAGAAGATGTAATCCCATGGTAGTCGGTGACCAACAATAGGTTCATACTCCGTTTGTTCTCTCTGGATACTAAAGCCATCCCTTTTGCACCATTGGTTCAGAATCAGGGTTGTTCAACTCCCCTAGGCGGACCCTCCGTGTCCACCGAAACCCGGTTGAAGCTCCGGATATTCGCTTTCTATCCCCTCAATTTCGCAAACAACAATTATGCCGCGAGTAGGCAGTGAGAACTTCCCTGTGAAAAAAATTTATAGTAAATTTTTTCACGTTTCTATACTTTTAATTGGTAGGTGGGTTAGGGCTACATACTTTTTATTATTGCGGAAACCCAAACAGATAGGTGTGAGTTTTCGACTTCATGGATAAGCCACGGCTCGCATTGGTCATTGCATTTTTTCAAGTGTCATTAGGTTTTATAATGTGATCACTAACCTCTAGTGTGCTAGTTATTCACATTGTTATTCTTATGTCGATCCTACCTCCCACGCAAATTAGCTTTCATTTGAAGCCATGTATTAATATAGAGCCACATACTGTACTCATCCAACAGAATGACCAAAATGAAAGTGAACATAACTGAAATTGTATTCGATCTCTTACGATCCATGTTGGAAGATTGTAAAAATTCTACACCTAGCCGTTTTTATTCAGTTCATAGATGGGTATGTGAATTCAGTAGTATACTAAGATGGAAAATCTAAAAAAAACATTCCTTAAAATGGTTTCCTATCTACAATGGCTTGTGTTGATTTGATCAGATCAACTCTATCTTGTCATTGTCCTATCAAAATATATGAAAGGGGCTAATTGCTTGTGCGATGGCCAACGTTTTGCTACAGTAAGAACTCGTTTTGAAGACTCATGATGACACGTACATATATTGCTGCTTGTTCCTCATCTTCCATTACTGATTTTTGTGTATTGAGTGAAAGGTGAGTTTTGAAGGAAGCCTTCTGATCTTTAGAAATCTAGGAGTTCATACGTAGTAATTCTAGCAGGTGATTTTGACATCCATGTAGATATCCTAATTCAAGCTCAAAAACAATTATGTAGGTCTTTTGGTGTCCCAACAAACAGATAATGACGACTGTCGCCTGCCATTAATCCTTAGATAACCGTCTATTTCTAGAAAGTACCAATGATAGGGATAGAGAGAAACATTGTCTAAATTGACCATACTCAGAATCAACACAGCAATGGACACACAAACCATCTTGCTATCAACTTTCATTAATGTTTTCATTAATGCTTTATCTGGACTAAATGATCTAATGAGAGCATGCAGTTTACGCAGAAACACCTCATAAAGCAAGACTCTTTAGAGGGATTCATTTGAAGATTAAAATGTCAAATCCATCCAAAGACGAAGTAGTGAATCAGTTATTCGATTTTGAAAAGGAAATTCATTCCGACGAAGTTTTAATTGATATCTAAACACCTTTGTGTAAGCCAAAGATATGTTTTAGCAACTTCAGCTAAAAAATAAGGAACGCTTTTAGTTAACTTTTACTTATTTGATAGCTCCTCAAAGACTCACCTTGGCTGTCTCAAAGAGTGAAGAAAGCTTAGGTGTAGACCAACAAACGGCTTATATCATAATCGCTATCTGGAACGCATTCACAGGGAAGCTTTGTCATTTACCAATGCAACCCCAAGGTTTGTGTTCGATGGCGATATACACCACTCCGTTTTAATCGTAGAAGTTGTGACTGCCATCTTTTCGTCCTAGTCAGTCAGTCAGTAACAAGGTAGAACTTCGTAAGTACGTACGTCAGTTCGAGTTACCACACCATATTAGCACAGAGATGCAGTTGTCGATTGAAATCCCGTAGTGGTAGAGGTAGTAAGAGTGTAAGCAGTAATCGGAAAGATTATGGTTTGAAGATGTTATTCAAAGAGTATAATACGGTGAAATAAATTTTGAAATAGGAAAAAGAAAAGGACATGGAAAATTCAGAATATTAGAATTTAGGAGAACACAAATAGTGGATGCACTTGCGCCATTGCAAACGATTATGAACCATGTCATTCAGGGTCTCTAACCATCGGTTGCTATCATCTCGCGGATCGCAACCAGATAGTCTACACCTACCAACATGACTCAGTCCACTTGTCAGTGACTTCATGGACTTGTGCCATGTTCTGGTCTGGCCTCCCCTAGCTTTCTTCTGATCTACTCCTATACCATTGAACATCGCGCGTCGAGGCAGTCGGTGGTTGGGCATACGTAACACATGTTTCAGCCGTATCAACTAATGAAGTTTCACTACTTTATCAATTGATTTGTCATCCTTACTTAGTACTCGTTTCCTAACAACTGTGTTACTTACTCGGTGTTCCCAGGATATACGAGCAATGTTTCGAAGACACCTATGATCAAATACTAGTAACTTAGGAATATCCTCAACTCTTACCGGCCATGTTTCACTGCCACAAAGTAGGATGGAACGAACTGCTGCGCAGTAAACCTGTCCTTCAGTTGATAGACGGATATCTCGCCTACACCATAAATGACGCAAGTTGGCAAAAGCTGATCGAGCCTTCTGTATCCGTGCTGAGATTTCGTCACACACCAGACCACAAGGGCTGATGAGACTCTTAAGATAAGTGAAGCGGTCGACGCGCTCAATTACTTCACTCCCTTTCACTAGTTCGGGTGTCGATGTAACCCAATCCTGAAGCAACATTTTGCGTTTCGAGGGACAGAATCGCGTCCCGAACATGCTTGCATTGTTGCTTAGAGTGGTCAGAAGACTGCATTTTGTCAGCGTCTTCACCAAATAAAACTATGTTATCGCATATTCTAAGTCAACAAGTGAACCTCCCGGTAGAAGTTTAACCCTGTAAATTTAGATGAGGAGAGTGTTATCTCTAAAAGTACGTCGACACAAAGTTGAACAAGAATGGGAGAGTGTACAGCCCTGACGAACACCACTTGAGGTAATCAATCTGATGACAGTTCGCCATAAGCTCTCACTCGACCAGTTGTGTTCGAGTAGAGAGCCTTTATAAGGTTAATGTACTTCTTTGGTACTCCTTTCAGTGACAAACACTGCCATAGAACCTCACGATCAACAGAGTCGAATGCCGCCTTAAGATCGAGAAATACTACCATTGTGGGGCGTCTGAATGTGTGTCTGTGTTCTAGAACCTGACGTCGTGTGAGCATCTGGTCTATACTGTTGAGTCGGCTTCCGGAGAACTTCAACGGAGCCTCCAGAGGCCCAAAAGGAGCCGAAGAGACCTAGCCAATCAGAGCATGATGTAACGTTCTGGAATTCCAACATGGCGTGCTACTATTGGTCGGTAGCATAATATGGCGTTAACGGATTGGCTGAAATATGATGTTGATTTAACAGACGCCAACATCTATAAATACCTATGATTTTCTGTACAAAAATGAACCTTGGGATAAAGTATTTTTCTCTCATACTTGTGTCTTCTCTCTGGTGTTCAAGTCTCTGTGTAGTTCTAGACTGAGGGTTACCGGAATAGCTTAGGAATCGTGTATAACGTTTCATCGACAAGACTTATCATATTCAACCACATCCAGGTCGAAAACCTGCCTGATTTTCTTTAGTCTGCTCCTCACGAGCTTTAGTTAGCCGTCGAAGTAGTATTGAAGCTAATATTTTAGACACTATATTAGTCAAACTGATTCCTCTGTACATGGGCTCCAGTATCCTGAGGGAACAAATGGCGTATGAACCAATTGTTGGTCACTGGCTTCCATGGGACTGCATCTCCTTACGATGCTCCACTGCCTTGTGGATCAGACCTTCAGGTCAAAGGCTCGGGGTGTGGACCCCTAAGAAAACCACCTGGTATGGTTTGGGCACCCGGTCAGTATCACAGCCCTCACACATATCGAATGAGATTTGTGTGGCGCATATTTATTTGGTGCCTCTTTATCTATGTGTTAAAATAAATAAATAAATTCACAAGAGGACTTTTGTCCTTTCTTATAGACTTGCACAGTCAGTGATTGAGACCAGTCAGATGGGATTACGTCCAGTTCCCAAATTCTACCTAAGACCTCGGTTAATCTCATTGCTAATACTGGACCACCATCCTTAAAAATCTCAGGAGTAAACCTGTCAGGGCCTGCTGCTCTCCCTCGTTTCAGATTTCCTATGGCTTTTTCAACTTCGTAAAGACACGGAGGACCTACATTAACTTGCCATTCAGGTTGACTGGAGATCGTGGGAAACCGAAGTGTGGCTGAAGGCCAGTTGAACTGATCCCTAAAGTGTTCTGCCCATCGATCCAATCTCCTGGATTGAGAATGAATAATATGTCCATCTTTCTCTGAGATTGTTTCGCTAACGGTCGGGTTCCTAATTCCGGTTTCCTTAACGAGTCTGAACAATTGTCTGCTATTACCTATTGCCGCTGCCTTTTCCATCTCTCTTGCTTTCGCTACCCACCACTGTTCGCGATCATTGCGTAGACTTCTTGTCAGCTTGCGCTTAAGCTGACTCCGCTCTTCATTATGTTCAGAGCCAGGTGGAATGAGTTTCCGAGCATCTATCAGTGCGATAGATGCTGCTGAGATCCAGTGTTGCTCCCTAACCTTCTGGTTTACCTTACTAGCAGATATCACTGCTGTTTCCACAGCTTTTCGGATATCATTCCATGCTGCATCGGGGTGGGCATCACATACATGGCTGCCTAACTGTTTTCCTAGTTGTTCCTGAAATATACTCTTAGCTT